TGCTGGCAACCGTCTTGGGCGGACACCCTGCAGGTCTTGCCGCAACCGGCTTGGGAGGTGATCCATGCCCGCTTCCCCGCGCCAGCGAAGAGGACCTCAACAACACCACCTTCACCAAGCTCCTGGGCGCGCGCCCTGCATGTCCTTCCCAGGACCACGTTGCAGAGGACCAGATCAGCTTGGGAGGCAATCTACACTCGTTTCCGGCCAGCAGCGCCCGCAGAGAAAACCTCTCCGACACCTTCCTCCCAGGCATCTGCGTCGCCGGCGGGGGGGGCTTCCACAGCGCTTGTCTCGCGAGCATCTTGGGGGTGTGCTTTGCAGGTGATGCCGAAGCCGGCTTGGGACAGTATCTATGCACGCTTCCCGACAACGCGGTCCTCGCCAACATCTACGCTGAAGGTTCTGCCAAAGCCGGGTTGGGACCTGATCTACGCAAGGTTCGCGATGCCAGCAGAAAGCACATCCACGACACCTTGCTGGGAGACCTGTTGGGCGCTGCAGGTGTTGCCGCAACCGGCATGGGAGGAGATCTACGCTCACTTCCCAATGTCAGCAGAGAGGACTCGGACATCACCATCGTTTCAAACATCTTGGCCGCGAACATCTTCCCATGCAGCTTGGATGCTGCAGGTGTTGCCCCAGCCGGCGTGGGAGGAGATCTACGCCCGCTTCCCAATGCCAGTGGAGAGAAGCTCCCCAACATCTGCCCAAGCATCTTGGGCGCTGCAGCTTCTGCCAAAGCCGGCTTGGGACCTGATCTACCGCCGCTTCTCGATGCCAGCAGAGAAGACCTCCGGGACACCTTGCTGGCAGACATCTTGTGCGCTGCAGGTGTTGCCCCAACCGGCGTGGGAGGTGATATACACCCGTTTCCTGATGCCAGCAGAGAGGACTCGGACGGTTACATCACCTTTGTTTGAATCATCCTGGCCGCGCACCTTGCAGCTGCTTCCTCCGACTGCGTGGCAGGCGATCTACGCCAGGTTCGCCCCCACCAGGAGCACGGGAACTTGCCAAACATCCCGCCCACCCTCGCAGCCAACCAGCTGGTGGGCCGCGCTGCACGCAACTTCGCAGCAGATGCTGTGCTGTGCGCGCATGAAGTAGTGTACACATCTCTGCTTCGTGCGCAATGTTCTGAAAGACTTGCGATTGCATAATTGTGCAATCTGCTCCCTCATGCTTCAAAACGCTCACTGTTTGAACGCCTGCGACTGCATCAGCGATGCAACTTCGTGAACAACTCTACCTGCGGACACGCAAAAAGGATCGGAATTCCACAGTGGCTTGCTTTGAAGGGTGTGCGCCTAAGCTGTGCTATCCGGCGCAAAGCGACGATACATGCAATAATCCGGTATCGGAAGTTTGGAGCGGTTCTGTTTTGCTATACTCGCGTAACATACATGGATAAAGGAGAGATGCCGCCCGAAGAATGAATGAACAGTGGCCTTTCGTAGTGGGGTCATTGAGGTCCACGTTGCTGTCTGCTCATGTCAGTGCCAATCGCCAGACTGCATAGGCAGAGTGTATCTTCTGCTGTGCTATGTCGGGTCAGTTGTTTGACACAGGCAAACGCAAGCGCAGCTTTGGAGTTTGTTTCAATTTAAATATAAGTACCTTTGTTCATTATAACTTCAAGCAAGTACAGGCTCCCTTAGGGTCCAAAAATGCGTCTGTCACAGCCATGGGCTGCCAACGCGCCTTGAGCATCTGCCACAGGCGGGGATCCGAGGGCTCCTTGCCCTGGCAGTCGTTGCAGTATGCATCTGGGTCAGCTCGGTTTTCTGGTGTGTTGGGTTTGGAGGGTTCGTGTTTCAGGGTCCCATTTGAGGTGGCATGTCGCATGTTTTGCTCAAAGATGTCTCAAATTTGGTCCGTGCAGCGCAGTTTTTTTTTTGAAAGCTGTGGAAGCCCGACGCCGCCCCTTTTGAAAATCTGCAGGAGGCGCCAGCTGCTGGCCACCAAGGCGAAGCGATTCGAGGCCGTGGCTCGCTTGTGGACTCACGGTTGAGGTTTGGATGGGTATAGATAAGCTGTGTGCCTTCGCCAACAACTATCACGGGGGGAGGGCCAGTAATTGCCGCGCGCACTCGCTTCGTTAAAGTAGCGACGCCGAGCATGTGGTATAAAAATGCTCCCCCCGCTTGTGGTCACGCATCGCCCTTTCTTTTTCAACCTCTTTGTTGAGTACTTCCCTTTCCTTGCCACATTCTCAAAATCGCTCCCTGAGCGGGCAGGTCCCCGCAGCTAAGCCAGACCTTTACCCCCAAGTGTGCTTATACCTTATACCTAGCGACCTGCTTTGTACATGTGCGCATGATCGCGCATACACACACACACACATGGCAGGGCCTTGCAGCTCGCTCTGGCAAAAAGCCGGGGTGCCCAGCTCTGGCCATCGCCTCCACGTTTGGTTTTGGATCTTGTTTGCAGGGGAGAGGCGCCCCTTGCCAAGCCTCACACCCTCTAAACCCTATATTAGAGCCTCTCCAAATGAGCCCCAAGCCCTTACGTAGTAGGCCCTAAGCCCTTGATCCGGAATCAGTGCAGTCTTTCCGGTTCAAAGGGGGGGCCTTGGGCGCTCCGGTGCTGGCACTTAGACTTTGCAACTCCCACAACCCTGAGAGCATGTTGCAGAACTTCATCCTACATCCCCTGTTGCCAATGCCAACGATGAACCCGTGAAGCCTCAGAGCCCTACACACAGCAAGCCGCCAAGGATGAACCCTTAAAGCCCATGAGTAAAAAATCCTGTTCCCGACTGCGTCCCGAAGCTTGCACAAGTTCCAGACGCCCTCACTGGAAGAGGTTGCCGGAGGTCTTGTGAGTTTTTGTGGGATCGTTGTTTTGGGGCTTTCGTCCGGTTGATCGCAACTCTCGGGCCAGACACCAACTCTCAAACTCAGTTGTCCTAGGAAGGCCTGCGCTGGACCTACAGCTCACAAAGCCGAGCCAACTTCCTTCTTGATTTCATTCGCTTGGGTGACCTGAAAATGCGTATAGGCAAGAATCCACACCTCCAGAAGCCTACATCGGCTTGTTCGGCTCGCGCCTATACCGCGCCCAAGGAGAAATCAGGGGAGGACGTCGGCGCAGCGCGGCAGAGCTTCCTTGGAGCCTCGCCCCTGGTCTTCTTCACTCTCAGAACCCTATCAGGCCTATAAACTCTAAAAATCACGGCCATGCCTGGCCTCGGGCTGAGGGCGTTTTTTCGACTCAGAGGGCTAGTGGTGGTGTATTCTTCAGGGTTTGGGGCTTATGGGGTCCAAAACCAAGCACTGGCTACACTTCAGGGAAAGCCTCGAGTTGGGCGCTTGGGCTCACGACTTCAGGCTCATGGACGTTCAAGTGCTGCTTGCATCTTGGGAGTTTACAGAGCTAGCGCCTGCCTTCTCTTGCGAGTGAAGATCAAGGGGCCTAAACCTTAAACCCCAAAAACCCAGAATCCAAGCTCTTGTCCCTAAACCATCCTACCCCTCAATACCTGGCTCGGGCGAGGTTTTCTAGTCTACCTCCTGATGCGAGGAGGGCGCCGGGAAGCCAAGAATCTCAAGCTGCTTGATAAGATCAACGATCTTGTTGGGCTTGTTCACAAGCAACGTCAGCCCCAAACCCTTAACCCAATGAGGTTTGAGGGTTGTTTAGTAGAACAACGTGCGGACGGGAGGGTTAATGATGAAATGTGCCATGGTAGCAAAGGTGTTGTAGAATGTAGGTCCACACTGTGGGGGGGGGGGGGGTACCACGTACCTTGGGACCAAATTGCCGAGGTCAAAGTGTCACGGCCCAGTTTTTGCTGGTGGCCATTCGAGGCGGATGGGTTTGAAAGAGCAGCAGACGCAGTGAACAAGATAAGCTATATTTCAAATTTTTATGGCAGAACACTGATGCTGCCACTTACCCCAAACTTGCAATGGAGACTATATGAGTTGGGCAGCAAATACTGGCAGCACCGTCCGGTAGTGGCATTGTTCTCAGCAATGCTCCTTTAATCTGGCAGGTCCCGCAGTCGGAAAGCTGGGGCGACGGCGCCACCATTCATCCAGAGCGCTTCACAAATCACCGCGCTCGCCCAGCTGCAGTGGACGTCGTCTCCGCTGGCATCGAGAAGTGCGCGTAGATGACGATCTACGCACGCTTCCCGCTGCCAGCGGAGAAGCAACCTCCACAACACCTTCCTGGCAAGAGTCGTGGGCGCGTGTCCTGCAGGTACGACACCTTCCTCGCAGGGCGCCGCAGGTATTGAGCCGGCTTGGGAGGTGATCTACGTAGATGACCTCCCATGCCGGCTCAACACCTGCGGCGCCCACGCTTGCTTCCCGATGAGGCTGAAGATGAAGAACGGTTGCTTGGCAAGCCGATCTCTGCTAGGTCTGTTGGGTTCGCCCTGCCAAGCATACAGGAACTTGGCCAACATCCCGCCCACCCTCGCAGCAGATGCTGTGCTGTGCCTGCGTGAAGCAGTGTACAAGTCTCTGCTTCGCGTGCCGTATTCTGAAAGGTGTACTTGCGATTGCACATTTATGCGACCTGCTCCATCATGCTTTAAAAAGTTCAGAAGCTCATTGTTAGAATGCCTGCGGCTGCGATTGCGTCAGCGATGCGTGGCCTGTTACTTCCAAAGCTATGCTATCCGGAAAGTGACGATACATGCACAGTCCATTTCTGGGAAAGGGGAGATCTTGCCAGAAGCCAGAGAAAAAGAGTGGTCTTTGGTGGTTGCGTGTACCATCGTGTACCTGTACACCCTTAAACTTAGGTCCGCACTGGCATAGGGAGTAGATGCTAGCAGACGAAGTGCGTCCAGAGTGCGCAACCCATCTTCCTTCTGCCCGGCTCATGTCAGTGCCAGTCGCCAGACTGCTTAGTAGAGCGCTTCTGCTACGTCAGGTCTGGTCACATGCTCGAGCACGTAAGCACTTGGAGTAGTTACCTGCGTTGGCACCTGTAAAGTAAAGCTTCCCTACGGGTCCCAAGTGGATCCCAAGTGGCCCATCATGGCCATGGAGGGAAACCCGCCATGCGCATCTGTTCAACGCCGCACAGATGGGGCGGACCCGCGGCTCCTGGGCCGCTGCATGGATGGCCGGCAGTCGTTGCAGAAGGCCCGTCATGTGGGGGTGGCGTGTTGCATCCTGTTATATCCTGTTGTGGCACATCCTTGCTTCTGAGATGTCGCCCCGCGCGCGCGTGCGCGTGCAGTGCAAGTCGTAGAATCTGTAGAAACCCCGACGCGGCCCCTTTTTCTCATCTGCAGGAGGAGCAAGCTGATGGTCGCCAGGCGAAGCGATTCGAGGCCATGGCCGGTTTGGGAGCGTTTATAAAGGTAGGACTCGCAGCTGTGAGTTGTGGGTTTTGATATAGGTACATTACAGTTGTGCTTCGTGCGTGCTGAAATAGGTTGAGAGGTTGTGCTGTTTTTTCCTGCTTCGTTCTGACCATGAGACGACGTCTGAGTCGTCTTTGTTAAACCTTTTGAAGTGCCCTTTCTTGAGGTTCATTCCCCCCTTTTCCTTTTTTTGCCACGGCACGGCAGGTTCCGCAAGCGTCAGTGGGCGCCGGCTGGGCCCTGGTCCTTCGGGAGGCCCGCGTGCGCTCCACGAAGCACAAGAGCAGCGAGCTTGTGGGCACCTTGGAGGAGGGAGGCTGGGTTCTGGTGGAGGAGGTTTCCTCAAAATCCGCTCGCATCCAGGAGCCTCTTGCTGGGTGGATTGCCTTGGAGAGATCTTCGGGGCCCATCCTCCAACAGCATCCCTGGCAGCGCGTCGTCCACTCTTTGGGCGGTCGGAAAGCTGGGACGATGGCTACTGCCACTGTCAAGAGCACTTCAGAAGACGCCGCACTCGCCCAGCTACAGGCTTCCAGCGAGCTTCTTCCAGCAGCGCGTACCTCCACAGCACCTTCCTCGCAAGCGTCTCCGGCGGCCCCCACTCACAGCCTGCAGCTACTGGTACTGCCCCAGCCGGGCTGGGAGATGATCTACGCCCGTTTCGAGACGCCGGTAGAGAGGACCTCACCTTCCTGGCATCCATCTTCGGCGCTGCAGGTTCTGCCAAAGCCGGCTTGGGACCTGATCTACCGCCGCTTCTCGATGCCAGCAGAGAAGACCTTCGAGACACTTTGCTGGCAAACAACTTGGCCGCAAACCTTGCAGGTGTTGCCCCAACCAGCATGGCAGGTCATCCACGCGCACTTCTCGACGGCAGCGGAGATGCCAGCAGACGGGAGCTCAAGAGCACCATGCTGGCAACCGTCTTGGGCGGACACCCTGCAGGTCTTGCCGCAACCGGCTTGGGAGGTGATCCATGCCCGCTTCCCCGCGCCAGCGAAGAGGACCTCAACAACACCACCTTCACCAAGCTCCTGGGCGCGCGCCCTGCATGTCCTTCCCAGGACCACGTTGCAGAGGACTAGATCAGCTTGGGAGGCAATCTACACTCGTTTCCGGCCAGCAGCGCCCGCAGAGAAAACCTCTCCGACACCTTCCTCCCAGGCATCTGCATCGCCGGCGGGGGGGGCTTCCACAGCGCTTGTCTCGCGAGCATATTGGGGGTGTGCTTTGCAGGTGATGCCGAAGCCGGCTTGGGACAGTATCTATGCACGCTTCCCGACAACGCGGTCCTCGCAAACATCTACGCTGAAGGTTCTGCCAAAGCCGGGTTGGGACCTGATCTACGCAAGGTTCGCGATGCCAGCAGAAAGCACATCCACGACACCTTACTGGGAGACCTGTTGGGCGCTGCAGGTGTTGCCGCAACCGGCGTGGGAGGAGATCTACGCTCACTTCCCAATGTCAGCAGAGAGGACTCGGACATCACCATCGTTTCAAACATCTTGGCCGCGAACATCTTCCCATGCAGCTTGGATGCTGCAGGCGTTGCCCCAGCCGGCGTGGGAGGAGATCTACGCCCGCTTCCCAATGCCAGCGGAGAGAAGCTCCCCAACATCTTCCCAAGCATCTTGGGCGCTGCAGGTTCTGCCAAAGCCGGCTTGGGACCTGATCTACCGCCGCTTCTCGACGCCAGCAGAGAAGGCCTTCGAGACACTTTGCTGGCAAACAACTTGGCCGCAAACCTTGCAGGTGTTGCCCCAACCGGCATGGCAGGTCATCCACGCGCACTTCTCGACGGCAGCGGAGATGCCAGCAGACGGGAGCTCAAGAGCACCATGCTGGCAACCGTCTTGGGCGGACACCCTGCAGGTCTTGCCGCAACCGGCTTGGGAGGTGATCCATGCCCGCTTCCCCGCGCCAGCGAAGAGGACCTCAACAACACCACCTTCACCAAGCTCCTGGGCGCGCGCCCTGCATGTCCTTCCCAGGACCACGTTGCAGAGGACCAGATCAGCTTGGGAGGCAATCTACACTCGTTTCCGGCCAGCAGCGCCCGCAGAGAAAACCTCTCCGACACCTTCCTCCCAGGCATCTGCATCGCCGGCGGGGGGGGCTTCCACAGCGCTTGTCTCGCGAGCATATTGGGGGTGTGCTTTGCAGGTGATGCCGAAGCCGGCTTGGGACAGTATCTATGCACGCTTCCCGACAACGCGGTCCTCGCAAACATCTACGCTGAAGGTTCTGCCAAAGCCGGGTTGGGACCTGATCTACGCAAGGTTCGCGATGCCAGCAGAAAGCACATCCACGACACCTTACTGGGAGACCTGTTGGGCGCTGCAGGTGTTGCCGCAACCGGCGTGGGAGGAGATCTACGCTCACTTCCCAATGTCAGCAGAGAGGACTCGGACATCACCATCGTTTCAAACATCTTGGCCGCGAACATCTTCCCATGCAGCTTGGATGCTGCAGGCGTTGCCCCAGCCGGCGTGGGAGGAGATCTACGCCCGCTTCCCAATGCCAGCGGAGAGAAGCTCCCCAACATCTTCCCAAGCATCTTGGGCGCTGCAGGTTCTGCCAAAGCCGGCTTGGGACCTGATCTACCTCCGCTTCTCGATGCCAGCAGAGAAGACCTCCGGGACACCTTGCTGGCAGACATCTTGTGCGCTGCAGGAGTTGCCCCAACCGGCGTGGGAGGTGATATACACCCGTTTCCTGATGCCAGCAGAGAGGACTCGGACGGTTACATCACCTTTGTTTGAATCATCCTGGCCGCGCACCTTGCAGCTGCTTCCTCCGACTGCGTGGCAGGCGATCTACGCCAGGTTCGCCGCCACCAGGAGCACGGGAACTTGCCAAACATCCCGCCCACCCTCGCAGCCAACCAGCTGGTGGGCCGCGCTGCACGCAACTTCGCAGCAGATGCTGTGCTGTGCGCGCATGAAGTAGTGTACAAATCTCAGCTTCATGCGCAATGTTCTGAAAGACTTGCGATTGCATAATTGTGCAATCTGCTCCCTCATGCTTCAAAACGCTCACTGTTTGAACGCCTGCGACTGCATCAGCGATGCAACTTCGTGAACAACTCTACCTGCGGACATGCAAAAAGGTTCGGAGTTCCACAGTGGCTTGCTTTGAAGGGTGTGCGCCTAAGCTGTGCTATCCGGCGCAAAGCGACGATACATGCAATAATCCGGTATCGGAAGTTTGGAGCGGTTCTGTTTTGCTATACTCGCGTGACATACATGGGGAAAGGAGAGATGCCGCCCGAAGAATGAATGAACAGTGGCCTTTGCTGGTAGGGTCACTGAAGAGGCACATGCTCGAGATCCACGTTGCTGTCTGCTCATGTCAGTGCCAATCGCCAGACTGCATAGGCAGAGTGTGTCTTCTGCTGCGCTATGTCGGGTCAGTTGGTTGACACAGGCAAACGCAAGCGCAGCTTTGGAGTTTGTTCTGAAGTACAAAATTATTCCCCTTTACAAGTACTGTACCTTTTTCAGTATAACCTCAAGTTCGTACAGGCTCCCTTAGGGTCCAAGAAATGCGTCTGTCACAGCCATGGGCTGCCAACTTGCCTTGTGCATCTGCACAGGCGGGGATCCGAGGGCAGTTGCAGCATGCATCTGTTTTCGGGTGTGTTGGGTTTAGGTTTAAGTTGTAGGGTCCCACTTGAGGTGGCATGTTGCAGGTTTTGCTTCGGAAATGTCTTAAATTTGGTCCGTGCAGTGCAGGTCCTTTTTGTGAAAACTGCGGAAGCCCGACGCCACCTCTTTTCTCACTCACAGGAGGCGCAAGCTGCTGTCCACCAGGCGGAGCGATTCGAGGCCGTGGCTCGCTTGTGGACTCACGGTTGAGGGTTGGATGGGTATAGGATTATAAGGTTTATAGGGTTTATAGGTTTACAGGGTTTCTAGGGTTTATGGGGTTTGTGGGGTTTATGGGGTTTATAGGGTTTATAGGGCTTAGTGCCTACGTCAACAGCTATCGCGGAGGGCCAGTAATTGCCGCTCGTACTCGCTTCGTTAAAGTAGCGACGCCGAGCATGTGGTATAAAATGCTCCCCCCGCTTGTGGTCGCACAGCGCCCTTTCGTTTTCAACCTCTTTGTTGAGTACTTCCCTTTCCTTGCCACATTCTCAACATCGCTCCCTGAGTGGGCAGGTCCCCGCAGCTAAGCCAGACCTTTACCTCCAAGTATGCTGATACCTTATATCTTGTTCGACCTGCCTTGTACATGCGCACATGATCGCACACACACACACACACATCGCAGGGCCTTGCAGCTCGCTCTCGCAAAAGGCCGGGGCGCCCAGCTCTGGCCATCGCCTCCGCATTTGGTTTTTGATCTTGTTTGCAGGGGGTGAGGCGCCCCTTGCCAAGCCTCACACCCTCTAAACCCTATATTAGAGCCTCTCCACATGAGCCCCAAACCTTACGTAGTAGGCCCTAAGCCCTTGATCCGGAATCAGCGCAAGTCTTTCAGGTTCAAAGGGGGGGGCTTGGGCGCTCCGGTGCTCGCACTTTGCAACTCCCGGAACCCCGAGAGCACGTTGCAGAACTTCATCCTACATCCCCTGTTGCCAACAGTGAACCCGTGAAGCCTTCGAGCCCTACACACAGCAAGCCGCCAAGGATGAACCCTTAAAGCCCATGTGAAAAAAATTTGTTATCGACTGGCTCTCGAAGCTTGCACAAGTTCCAGACGCCCTCACTGGGAGAGGTTGCCGGAGATCTGTGGACTGTGGAGGTCTTGTGAGTATTTGCGGGATCTTTGTTTCGGGGCTTTCGTCCTCAAAGGCCGGGCAGTTGGGTTGATCACAACTCTCGGACAGGCCAGACACCAACTCCCAAACTCAGTTGTCCTTCGACCCGCGCTGGACCTGCGTATAGATAGGCAAGAATCCACACCTCCAGAAGCCTACATCGACTTGTTCGCCTCGCGCCTGCCGCGCCCAGGAGAAATCAGGGGAGGACGTCGGCGCAGCGTGTTGTGGAGGTCCTCTCAGCTGGCATCGAGAAGCGTGCGTAGCTCACTTCCCGATGCCAGCGGAGAAGAAATCTCCACGACACCTTCCTGGCAAGCATCTTGCCTGCCCTGCATGCACAACACCTTCCTCGCAGGGCGCCGAAGGTATTGAGCCGGCTTGGGAGGTGATCTACGCCGTAGATCACCTCCCACGCCGGCTCAATACCTGCGGCGCCCGCGCTCCCTTCCCGAGGACACACTCTACGTACGCTTCCCGGCAACGCGGTCCTCGCAAACATCTGGGGCAGGCACCCTGAAGGTTCTGCAAAAGCCGGGCAGGGAGACGATCTATGCACGATTCCCGATGCCAGCGAAGAGGATCTCCACAGCACCTCCCTCGGAAACAGCTTAGGCGCTGCAGGTGCTGCCAAAGCCGGCTTGGCAGATGATCTATGCACGGTTCTTGCCGGCAGAGAAGACCTGCGCGACACCTTGCGGGCAGACATCTTGGGCGCTGCAGGTATTGCCCCAACCGGCGTGGGAGATGATCTACCTTTGCTTCCCGACGCCAGCGCGGAAGACTCAGACATCACCATCGTTTCAAACATCTTGGCCGCGCACCTTGCAGCTGCTTCCGCAGTCGCAGGCGATCTCTGCTGGCTGCCCGGCAACTTGCAAACATCCCGCCCGCCCTCGCAAGCCATAGGCTGGGAGGCCGCGCTTCACGCATCTTCGCAGCAGATTCTGTTATGGGCGTGCATGAAGTAGTGCAAAGCTGATTCGGCTAGAGGCGAGCATCATGAGCGAGAAGCTCATTGGTTGAATGGCTGCGATTGCGTCAGTGATGCAACCTTGTGACAAAAACTCTATCTGCTGGCACGCAAGAATCATGTGAATTCCAGGTAATTCCAGTGGCTTGATTTTGTGTGCGTGCGCCTTAAGCTATACAATTCGGAAGGAGACGACACATATTATAATCAGAAATCGGAATTTAGGAATTCTCCCATGACATTTAATCTTCAACGTAAAATGGGAATAATTTTATTT